TCCTATTCCCATTGTCTTAATTGTTTTGGGTTTGGTATTGTAGGTCTTTTCCTTCTCTTGTGTTTCTTGCCTAGAGAAGGTCCTTTAGCATTTGTTGTAAAGCTGGTTTGGTGGTGCTGAACTCTCTCAACTTTTGCTTGTCTGTAAAGGTTTTAATTTCTCCATCAAATCTGAATGAGATTCTTGCTGGGTAGAGTAATCTTGGTTGTATGTTTTTCTCCTTCATCACTTTAAATATGTCCTGCCAGTCCCTTCTGGCTTGCAGAGTTTCTGCTGAAAAATCAGCTGTTAACCTTATGGGGATTCCCTTGTGTGTTATTTGTTGTTTTTCCCTTGCTACTTTTAACATGTTTTCTTTGTATTTAATTTTTGACAGTTTGATTAATATGTGTCTTGGTGTGTTTCTCCTTGGATTTACCCTGTGCTTACTGGACTTGATGAACTGTTTCCTTTCCCATATTAGGGAAGTTTTCAACTATAATCTCTTCAAATATTTTCTCAGTCCCTTTCTTTTTCTCCTCTTCTGGAGCCCCTATGATTCGAATGTCTCTGAGACTGTCCTCAGTTCTTTTCATTCATTTTTCTTCATTCTGCTCTGCAGTAGTTATTTCCACTATTTTATCTTCCAGGTCACTTATCCTTTCTTCTGCCTCAGTTATTCTGCTATTGATCCCTTCTAGAGTATTTTTAATTTCATTTATTGTGTTGTTCATCGTTGCTTGTTTTATCTTTAATTCTTCTAGGTCCTTGTTAAATCTTGCTTTCATTTTCTCTATTCTGTTTCCACGATTTTGGATCATCTTTACTATCATTATTCTGAAATGTTTTTCAGGTAGACTGCCTATTTCCTCTTCATTTGTTAGGTCTGGTGGGTTTTTATCTTGCTCCTTCATCTGCTGTGTGTTTTTCTGTCTTCTCATTTTGCTTATCTTACTGTGTTTGGGGTCTCCTATTTGCAGGCTGCAGGTTCATAGTTCCCGTTGTTTTTGGTGTCTGTCCCCAGTGGCTAAAGATGGTTCAGTGGGTTGTGTAGGCTTCCTGGTGGAGGGGACTAGTGCCTGTGTTCTGGTGGATGAGGCTGGATCTTGTGTTTCTGTTGGGCAGCTCCACGTCTGGTGGTGTGTTTTGGGGTGTCTGTGGACTTACTATGATTTTAGGCAGCCTCTCTGCTAATGGGTGGGGGTTGTGTTCCTGTCTTGCTAGTTGTTTGGCATAGGGTGTCCAGCACTGTAGCTTGCTGGTTGTTGAGTGAAGCTGGGTGCTTGTGTTGAGATGGAGATCCCTGGGAGATTTTTGCCGTTTGATATTACATGGAGCTGCGAGGTCTCTTGTGGACCAGTGTCCTGAAGTTGGCTCTCCCACCTCAGAGGCACAGCACTGAATTCTGGCTGCAGCACCAAGAGCCTTTCATCCACATGACTCAGAATAAAAGGGAGAAAAAGTAGAAAGAAAGAAAGAAAAAAGGGAAGGGAGGGAGGGAGGGAGGGAGGAAGGAAAAGAAAAGATAAAAAAGTAAGATAAAATAAAAGTTATTAAAATAAAAAATAATTATTAAGAAAAAAATGTTTTTAAAGTAAAAAAAAAAAAAAAAACGGACAGATAGAACCCTAGGACAAATGGTGAAAGCAAAGCTATATGGACAAAATCTCACACAGAAGCATACACACTCACAAAAAGAGGAAAAGGGGAAAAAATAATAAATCTTGCTCTCAAAGTCCACCTCAATTTGGGATGATTCGTTGTCTATTCATGTATTCCACAGATGCAGGTATATCAAATTGATTGTGGAGATTTAATCCGGCCCTCCTAAGGCAGCTGGGAGACCTTCCCTTTCTCTTCTTTGTTCGCACAGCTCCTGGGGGCTCACCTTTGGATTTGGCTCCGCCTCTGCATGTAGGTCGCCGGAGTGCGTCTGTTCTTCGCTCAGACAGGATGGGGTTAAAGGAGCCGCTGATTCGGGGGCTCTGGCTTACTCAGGCCGGGGGGGGGGGGGGAGGGGTATGGAATGCGGGGCAAGCCTGTGGCAGCAGAGGCCAACATAATGTTGCAGCAGTGTGAGGCGCGCCGTGCGTTCTCCCGGGGAAGTTGTCCCTGGATCCCGGGACCCTGGCAGTGGCGGGCTGCACAGGCTCCCCGGAAGGGAGGTGTGTGACCTGTGCACGCACAGAGGCTTCTTGGTGGCAGCAGCAGCAGCTTTTGCATCTCATGCCCGTCTCTGGGGTCCGTGCTGTTAGCCGCGACTCGCGCCTGTCTCTGGAGCTCCTTTAAGCGGCGCTCTTAATCCCCTATCCTCGCACACCAGGAAACAAGAGGGAAGAAAAGTCTCTTGCCTCTTCGGCAGGTCCAGACTTTTCCCCGGACTCCGTCCCGGCTAGCCGTGGCGCACTAGCCCCTTCAGGCTGTGTTCACGCCGCTAGTCCTCTCCGTGCAGTCCTCTCCCTACGCTCCAACCGAAGCCTGAGCCTCAGCTCCCAGCCTTGCCCGCCCCGGCGGGTGAGCAGACTAGCCTCTCGGGCTAGTGAGTGCCGGTCGGCAGCGATCCTCTGTGCTGGAATCTCTCCGCTTTGCCCTCCGCACCCCTGTGGCTGCACTCTCCTCCGTGGCCCCGAAGCTCCCCCCTCCATCAACCACAGTCTCTGCCCGCGAAGGGGCTTCCTAGTGTGTGGAAACCTTTTCTCCTTCACAGCTCCCTCCCACTGGTGCAGGTCCCGTCACTATTTTTTTGTCTCTGTTTATTCTTTTGCCCTACCCAGGTACGTGGGGAGTTCCTTGCCTTTTGGGAGGTCTGAGGTCTTCTGCCAGCGTTCAGTAGGTGTTCTGTAGGAGTTGTTCCACGTGTAGATGTATTTCTGATGTATCTGTGGGGAGGAAGGTGATCTCCGTGTCTTACTCTACTGCCATCTTCCCCACCCCTGTATGGTAATTTATGTTTAACTTTCTAAGAAACAGTCAAACTTTTCCATAGTAGCTATTCCGTTTTATAGGCCAATATAATATTGATACAGAAATCAAACGTTATGTTACAGTTTTATGTACAATGATGCAAAACCCCTAAAAAATATATTAAGGAACCAAATATAGCAATGTTTAAAATAGATCATTAATCATATCGAAGTTAGTATCCTTTGGATGTAAGGCTGGTTTAACATTAGAAAAATCAAGTAATGTAATCCACCCTGTTACCAGAATAGAGGGAAAAACCATAGTATTATCTCAAATAATGTAGAAAAGCATTTGATAAAATTTCACTGATGGTTTAAAAATTCATCACACTAGGACTAGTAGGGAGCTACCAGAATAAGCCTGTAGCAAACCTTACACCTAATGGTGCAACTTTGAAGCTTTTAACATAAGAAAGAAAATTAAGTAGTGAACACTCACTCAACACTTTGCTAGAGGTCCTAGCACAGTAAGCAAGAAAAAGGTATATTTAGAAAGGAAGAAACAAGTGTTATCTGCAGATGATATGACTATCTTTGTAGAAGACTCAAAATAATCTACAGATAAATTATTAGAATTGATAAAGAGAATAGTAAAATTTCTGGACACAAAGTCAGTAAAGAAAAGTCATTTGCAGTTCTTTTCCCAGTAAGTTAGAAAATGTACTTTAGAAATCATGTAAGTTACAAAAGCTTGAAAAAATAAACTTGACAAAGATGTGTAATATGTATCTGGAGAAAACTGTGAAACTTTACTGGAAAACATTAAAGAGAGCTTAACTCTGAAATTTATGTAAAGACCAAGTGGTAAAGAGCAATCCTCCTGAAGAAGAGAAACAGGATAGGGTATAAGAGAAGCCACTTCTTGAAAGTCTAGTTCATTCCCATTTTAGGATTTAGTTTTCTTGGGTCTGCTTAGTCAGGTACCACTTAATCAAAATGTTGTTGCTATCGTGTCCTGTCTTATTTTCTTGGTCTTTGTTGGTTTGTGTAATTTTTTAAAACAATCCCTGTATTGTTACATTTTACAGCGTTTTTCAAGGGAAGAGAAGTAAGTGTGTGCTGTCAACACTGAAACATTTTTAACTGAAAATACTGGGATAAGTTTTAAAGCCATCATTTTGGCTGCTGGGTGGAGAATAGATTTCAGATTGGACAGGAGTAAAGGCAGGAAAACCTGGTAGGAGACAATTGAAATAATCCAGATGAGAGATGGTTGAGGTTTGGACCAGGAGCCCAGGATTTCCACATGCCTTGGGTAGGGCAGCCCCTTTCACAGATACCACATCATCTTTGATTGGAGTAGAAATGTGGTCCTGTGTATTCCTGGCAAGACCTTTACCCTTTCCAGTTTCCGACCACTCACCCCTGTCTCTCTTGAAACCATCAGTAATAATTTTATTCATTATGTCTTTTTTTGCTTGTTTATGCCATAAGAATCCTAGAACTCCCTGATTCCTCCAGGGCTCTTTAGACACTGAGGTAGTTAATTGGTACCTGTATCCCACTCCCTCAACAGTATGTCCACCATCATTGTTCTTTTTTTTCCTGTAGCTCTTATCACCATTTGTAAGATAATATATTTGTTTATGCATCCTCATTAGAATATAAGCTCTATTAAGACAAGTTTTTCTCTATTTTTATTGCATATTCCAAGCACTTAGAACAATGCCTGGCACATAATGGTTGCTCAGTAAAAATGTGTTCAATAATTGGAGGAAAACAGAAATATCAATGAGGAATAGGTGCATTGTAGGTTTAGTTTGAAGATCAAGACTACTGAATTTGTTGATGGATTGGGTGTGGGATGAGTAAGAGAGAGAGTAGTTACGGATGGCTCCTAGATTTTTGGCATAAACCAAAATGACTAGAGTTGCCATATCTTGAGAGGGGGAAACTATGAGAGGAGCAAATTTTAGGGTAAAATCAATTATAATATTCTAAGGTAACACATTTAAAAGTCACTGAATAGATGTTCTCAAAAGTTCCTTCTACTTGGTTTTACCATCCTACAGTTTTTGGAGACTACACTCACCATGCTTATTTGTAATGTTTTCTCAGGTCATGCGCATTGTGGATAATGTTCGTCCTGACCGACAGACAGTTATGTTTTCAGCTACTTTCCCCAGAGCTATGGAGGCCTTGGCTCGCAGAATCCTGAGTAAACCCATTGAAGTGCAGGTTGGAGGCAGAAGTGTGGTTTGCTCAGATGTGGAGCAACAAGTGGTGCGTACAGACCTTAGGAAGCCCCCAGTTCCCTGTATGTTTAGGCACTGTGTCATCCTTTTGGGATCGTTGTCATGTAGGCAGATAATTTCTAAAGTTAAATAGTACGTATCAACTGCAGCCTTTAACATTTTACGAAATATATATATATATATATATATTTTTTTTTTTTAATTTTATTTATTCATTTATGTCTGCATTGGGTCTTCATTGCTGCATGCAGGCTTTCTCTAGTTGTGGTGAGTGGGGGCTACTCTTTGTTGCGGTGCGTTGGCTTCTCATTGTGGTGGTTTCTCTCGTGGAGCATGGGCTCTAGGCGTGCGGGCTTCAGTAGTTGTGGCTCACGTGCTCTAGAGTGCAGGCTCAGTAGCTGTGGTACACGGGCTTAGTTGCTCCACAGCTTGTGGGATCTTTCTGGACCAGGGCTCAAACCCATGTCCGCTGCATTGGCAGACAGATGCTTAACCACTGTGCCACCAGGAAAGCCCTACCAAGTATAGTTGAATTTGCTCTTCCATGGAACTGTCTGTTTAAATGCTCTTTTAGTTTTTTTCACCAGAAGTGGTAGGCTGGTGATAAAATGTCACATACCTATGTTTTTCTTTGGTTAATAGGATGTGAAGTTAAGAGTCAGAGAGGGGTTTACCTGGTGGCACAGTGGTTGAGAGTCCGCCTGCCAGTGCAGGGGACGCGGGTTCGTGCCCTGGTCTGGGAAGATCCCACATGCTGCGGAGCGGCTGGGCCCGTGAGCCATGGCTGCTGAGCCTGCGCGTCTGGAGCCTGTGCTCCGCAGTGGGAGAGGCCACAACAGTGAGAGGCCCGCGTACCGCAAAAATAAAAAAAAAAGAGAGAGAGAGAACAGATGATCATCTGTCCACATTTGTAAGCCTCTTAGTCTCTGAAAGTTACAATTATTTTTTTGGTCTTAGTGGTTTATCAATTAAAATCAACATTTTCCTACCCCTTCCTAAAGTTATAGGAAGATGTTTATTTATTTGCCACAAATAAAATGAATATTTTTGTTCATGAAATGTATTTGGGTTTTTACTCCATTAACTTGGTACAATGTGTTGTTTTCAGATTGTGATTGAAGAAGAAAAGAAATTCTTGAAGCTACTTGAACTTCTAGGCCATTATCAAGAATCAGGATCTGTCATTATATTTGTGGATAAGCAGGAACATGCTGATGGTCTTCTGAAAGATTTAATGAGAGCTTCTTACCCTTGCATGTCTCTTCATGGAGGTAACGTTTAATGAAGTGTCTGTTAAGTACTTAACTTAGCCAAGCACTGTGCTGTGTATTTCCTTTGTCTCTAATTTAGCAGTAAATTTTATGTCATCCATGTCATTTTTCATTCACAACAGTTCTGTGGGGGTGGGTAAGCATTATTTTATTTCATCTTAGCAATAAAGAAAATAAGACAACAACATATTGGTTTGATCAAATTCCATAACCATTAATCGAGGAATTGAACTTAAATTTTTTTTCAGCCCAAACCCCCAATATTTATTTACAAGTTATTTATATGTACAACTAATGTAATATTATGCTCTTTATAAACATTAACACACAAATAAGAAATTAAAAAACACAAAAATTAGAAATATTCTAGTATTTTCTTCCCACTCCGCCAACGTATCATATCACACCCACCCTATGTTACCTCTCCCCCCACACCCCTTCACCCTGCACCATCACTTCGGAGCCCCTGCTGTAATCAAAGGGAGCCTTTGGAGTTTCTGAAACAGAGGAGGGGCATGGTCTCTGATGACTTTCCCAAATCCGCAAACTAAAAGCAGACTGAGACATCAAAGAACTGCAATTGCCTTAGAGCGCTTTCCACGTGCCAGGAAATGCCTCAGTGCTTTAGTATAACTCATTTAATCCCCAAAGCAACCCTACGTTGTACGTACCATTATTGTCTTTTAAGATATTTTTATTTTAAGATGGAACTGAGGCATAGTGAGGTTAAGAAACTTTGCCAGGGTGACACAGAAAATGGTGGAGCCAGAACTGGAACCCACCCTGGGTGGGTCCACACTCCATGAGCTTAACTGCTACTGGAGGGAGATAAGGGGGCTCCCTTGGTCAAGTCCCTCACCAATCACTGCTGTCATGAGAATCCCAGGTACTGTGTGAGGAGGCAGCAGGAAATCACTAATCACCGGGGTACCTCTCACTCGGTTGTCTAGGCAAGGTCGGCTAATCTGCAGTCTCCAGAGGCCAGCTCAGCTGGTCACGCAGGCGCAGATCGATAGGCTTGGTTTCTATGCACTTAAAATTTTTGATTTATGTTCTATTCTTTCCATTGTACCATGCTACCTAGAGGTTTTTATTATGATTCACATTAGAGCTTTAATTAATTTCTGTGTAATATCGCCATTGTTATATATATGTGGGACTTAGAACACTAAACATATGGAACAGAGACAGTTTGAATTAAACTCACTAACCAAGTGTTCTGGCAATATGGCTTTGTGACAAACCACCCCCAAATTTAGTGGCAACAGTCTTTTTTTTTTTTCTTTTTTAATGAATCTGCAATTTGTGTAGTTCTTAGCACATAACTAGTCTCTCTTTCATGCTCTGTCTACTCGGATGGCTAAGTTGGGGTTGGGGATCCATTTCCAATTTGCCTTACTTAGGCAGCTGACAAGTTGGTATTGGCTCTTGACTGAGAGCTCAGTCAGGCTGTTGGCCAGGAGTCCTGACTCTTTCCCTGTGAGCCTCTCTGTGAGGCTGCTTGGCCAGAAGGCAAGAACCAGAAGCTGCCAAGACAGTTAAGGAGGATACTGGGAAGTGGTAGAAATTTTATTTCCACCATATTTTATAGGTCAGAATAGTCACTAGACTGGCCCACGTTCAAGGGAATGGAGTCATAGACTCCACCACCTTATGGGAAAATGTCATTCGATATGCAGAAGAGCATGTGGGATAGGACATGCTTTTGCTGCCGTCTTTGGAAAATACAATCTACCACACAAGGCTTCATCATGTGGAATGCAATTAAAAGGGCTTTGAGGATATGTATTTGGTTAACTTTTAATATTTGAAAATGACTTGTTGTGTTTTCCTTTTCTTTATTTATTTTTAAAGTTGTGAGTTACATGTTTTGAAAAATAAATATATTTATTTATTTTTGGCTGTGTTGGGTCTTCGTTGCTGAGTGCAGGCTTTCTCCAGTTGCGGCGAGTGGGGGCTACGTACGCTTCGTTGTGGTGCACGGGCTTCTTATTGCAGTGGCTTCTCTTGTTGCGGAGCATGGGCTCTACGCGCCCGGGCTTCAGTAGTTGTGGCACGTGGACTCAGCAGTTGTGGCTCGCGGGCTCTAGAGCGCAGGCTCAGTAGTTGTGGTGCACGGGCTTAGTTGCTCTGCAGCATGA